GTCCCTAAGGCAGCTACCCAGCTGCTCCAGTAGATCCCACCGTGGAGGTGATGGCCGGTCTCATCACGGGGAACACTGCGTCCAGCTGCCCAGCCACTCAGCCAGGCCCAGCCGAGCTGACCCACAGACTGAACCACCACCGCCTGGAACACCTGTTGCCAGCAAGCAAGCAAAACCACACTTTCAAAAGAACATGAAGGCAAGCGAGTGTCTTAAAAGTCTCTGCTTGGTCACATACGAAAGCTCCAGGAAAGGGTAAGGGTGCCCAGGCCAGACGGCGGCTCTCTGTTCCCCCAGCATGCGCACAGGCCAGGCCAAGAGTCAGGTTGGGACGGTCCCCTTTGCCAGCGTGTGGGGGACAGCCCGTCATTACCCCTCACCCGCTGAGGGACAGTTAGGTGGTTGCCACCTCCTGGCTGTTGTGAGAAGTGCTGCAGTGACCGCCAAGTGCAGATTTCTGCTTGGAGTCCTGCTTTTCCTTCCCAGCGCCAACCCAGGAAGGGAATTGCTGGGTCCCGTGGTGGTTCTGTGTTCCATTTTTGAGGACCCGTCTGTGGGTTCCCCAGTGGCTGCCCATCTGAAACATAGCTTTGGAGGAGCCAGTTCGCATCTCCTGGTGTGCCCCCTGCATGAGTGGCTGAGCTCCTGGGGACAGGGACCCTGCTCCGTCTTCCAGTGCCTTTACTTTCCCAGGGGGCCTCGGTACATGGAGAGCCTGGTTCTGGGAGGAACTTGGCATTGTCCTCTCGGGGTGGGTGCTGCCCTGGGTTTTCTGGTGACTAGTAGTGGCCCTGTGCCTTTCCAGCTGTTCTGTGAGGAGGCTGTGCCAGGAGCTGATTACCAGAGACATGGGGCGTGTCTGCACCCTGTCCCCCCTGTCAGAATGGCCTCATTCGGAGAGCCCTGTGCGAGGAGAGGGAGGGCAGTCCTGGGCCCGTCTGGGTCCTCTTCTGCCCCAAGTGCGCCGTGTGGGTGCCTGTCCCCACAGACCAGGATGAGGGTCCCCAGGTCAGGATGCAAAAGTGCAGCCCCTTGGGGAGCTGCCAGGTGGGAGGTCAGTGCCGCTCACTGGTGGTCATGCTGCCTGCCACGGGCACCTCAGAGTCACATGGGGACCTGGGGCCTCTTCCACTCCCAGGCCCCACTGAGTCTGGGAGTGGGGCCTGGATGCTGGCCTTGCACAGGCCCCAGTGGAACTCAAGGGCCCAGAGGAGAGCAGGGTTAATTCGCATTCGGTGGATGAGGCTCCTTCAAAGACAGATGGCTCAAAAGTGCGTGTTTAGTCTTTCTGGGCTGTTTGCTTGTCAGTTTCTCTTAGAAGGGTGTCGCCTGCCTTGTGGTATAACAATGCTTGTGTGCTGTCCCAATTCATAGTATGATGGCCTCCTGCGTCAATAGGCTGGTGGCACAGCTGGGCTGGCAGGGCCACGGCAGCTGCTTCGTGGCCACAGCTCGTGTGGGCAGTCTCCCAGCAGCCGCGCTGCAGAGTTCCTGTAAGAACGTCAGGCTGCCGGCCTCATGGAGCCCGTCATGCACCTGCACACCGGGCATTCCCACACACCAGGACCCAGCTAGGTGTCCTGGAGGGGAGGACCGGCCCGCAAGTCTTACACCTGTGTCTGCCTAGTGTCCAGGCTTAGGGCCTGGTTCCAGCTCCTCCTGTGCCTGCTGGGCTGGTTATCTCCTCAGCTACCTGAGCAGTGGTTCCGGGGGAGGGTGAGCACGAGGTGGTGGTGAGGATGAATGTCCCAAAGGGTGACATGCCAGGTGCTGTGGAAGCCTGTGGACAGGTCATCAGGACCCCGGAGTCGCTGACCCAGCAGGGCCCTGCTGCACAGTGCACGTGTGGGCTCCCGATGTTCTCTGTCAGAGCTGTGGCCTGACGTCCGAGCAGAACCGCAGGCGGTGTGTCTGGCGGCCTGGCGCGCCTGCCCGGGTGTGCGGCTGCCCTCGGAGTGGGCCTTGGAGGCCCTTTGCTTCCGGGCCTTGCTCTTCCCCTGCAGTCCGTCTTCCTCGCTCCAGCTCACTCCCCTTCCCCAGGACCAGCTGCATCTGCATGGCTGCTCAGCCTCGCGTACAGGAGCCCCGTCCACACGGTGCCGTTGTCTGCTGAGCCGTGCGTTTTCAGGTGCTCAGCCTGGGAGTCGCACCGACCAGAGTGCCACCTCATTCTGTGGGTGCTCTGGGGGACAGGCAAGGGTCATGCTGGGTGATGGGCCACCTCAGGGCCTGGGGACCTGCCCTGCACGTCCTTTTGTAGCTGCAGATCATTTCAGGGTGGAAATAACTCTGTAAATCTTGTAGGCAAAGCACAGGGCCCATCTCATTGTTGGAGAATAGACAGCGACTCAGAGCTGCTGTGTTCAGAGCGACGGGCAGGGAGGGGGCGGAGCTTCGGCTTCTTGCTTCTGGGCAGTTACAGTGTGCTCCCTACGTGCATTCAGTCATCTACAGACATGTATTGAGCCTCTAGGGGTCTCTGGGTGACACAGACAGTTAAGCGCTCGGCCGCTAACCAAAAGGCTGGAGGTTCCAGTTTACTCAGCGGTGCCTGGGAGAAAGGCTTGGTCAAAATTCTGAAAAGTCAGCCACTGAAAACTCAGTGCAGCACGGTTCTGCTTGACACATGTGGGCGCCAGGAGTCAGATTGACTCCAGGCACCTGGTCGAGTGTGTCTGTGTGCTGGGGGCTGGAGAAATGGGCGACTCTGCTGCGGCCCCTGCTCCGACCAGCTCACACCCATGGGGTGGACACGGGTTCTTAGGTCCAGTGCTCGGGGGTGAGTGCTTTAGTGGAGGCGTTTGTCAGACCCAGGAGAGAGGACCCCTAACAGCTGGGAGAGACGGAGCCCTGGGGCGGCCGCCACCATCAGCAGCGGCATCATTCTTTATCCTTGATGGTCCCCGGAGCCCCAAAGTCTCCTGGGAACAGAAACTAGTTCTTTGATTCCTAGAGGGTGGCTGAGGGCTCCATGGTGTCTAGAGTGGGTGGGGAGGCAGGCTGGGGGCTGGGCTGGGGGCCAGGCTCTCTCTGGCTGCTGGCAGACCCCCACAGAGCGCGTGCACCTAACGGCTGGGGCCTGTGTCTGTCTCCCACAGAGCGCGTGCACCGCCACCTAGAGCAGCACGAGGTCAAGTACCTGCAGTTTGCCTTCCGCTGGATGAACAACCTGCTGATGCGGGAGGTCCCCCTGCGCTGCACCGTCCGCCTGTGGGACACCTACCAGGTGAGCGACTCACCCGGCCCCGCCTGCCAGGGTGCCGGCCTCCACTCGGGGGCTGGGTGTGCCTCCTGATCCCATCCTCAGCATATCCTCTCAGTGGGAATAAGGTCTGTGGAAAGTCTGTCTGTGGTGCTCCTGTGACCTGAGAGCTGTAAGACGGGCAGGTGCAGCCATGGGCAGGGAATGGCGGCCGTGTCTGCAGGGCTGCCTCACTGTGTCCGCAGGACAGCACCCAGCAGCCTGGTTGTTGATGGACTGGGTCCAGCGTGTGTCTGGCTGTGGCTGCCCAAAGAGCCCAGCCGTCTCTAGTAGCTGCTGATGAAGACTTTACTCTGATGACTCGGGACAGTGTGACACGTTCCACCCTCCACCAGCTTTGATGGAATTCGTTTTTTCTGGAGATTGAGTTTTCTGGAACAAACCGCCTTTGTTCCCTGGAGTGTCCCGTGGCTTATT